ACACTTGCCCCTGCCCTCACCCCGGTTCCAGCTGCGGTAATACGGTGACCTAAGGTGACACTGCTGGAGCCTGAGAGAAAGAAGAGAAGAGGAGGGAGAAGGGTAGAGATATGCTGCCTGACAAGCACAGTATAAGATAAACTTGCCACTGCATCTACAGCTTGTCCTAATCTTATCAAAGTCCTCAGCTTCAATACTGGACCCTGAAATTAATACTGTACATTAATAAGCCTGTGTGACCAAAGGCTAACTGGAGAACATTTGTTATACTGATATCACAATTTTCTACTGTAAGACAAAATTGGGGGGGTTGTGTTTAGTTTATTATATCATTGTATAATCTTGTGCAATGCAGGCAGCATCTTTTTTTTCTTTTCCACAGACCTTTGTACTGTATCTGGTGATGGAAAATGCTAGCCAAGCACACACTTTATTAAACAATCCCTTTACTCCTCAGAAAGGCTTTCAGAGCCTTACCAACTCCTTTCCTTCCTTCCATTAAATTATTTTAGTGTCTTTAGTGGGGTTGGATACCATCTGATCCCACAGTTCCTCCATATAGTGGATCATGCAATGCTGTTTTCTTTCCATCTGGCTTTATCTCAGCCAGAAATATGTTTCCCATAGAGAACACCAGTCATCTTTTTCCACCCACATGGCAAAGCAAAAAAGTAGAGGTGAATCCATAGAAACTCCCAGTATCTGTACAGCAGAAGTCCCAAAGTTTGAGTCATTTTTTTCCCTTTTTTTCATCCACATCAAAGGCATGAATACAACAAGGCATTGTTAGTTGCGGTGGGCAAACTGGAGTCTCTGCTGATATAACAGATTCGGTTTTTAAGGCCTTTGTCTATGCAGAGATACAATAATGCAGAAGCCAGGTTGATTAGAAAGAGAGAAGAGAGAAAAAATGAGAGAAACAGAAGTGTGAGAGAAAGAGATACGAGATACGTCTCAGTAATGTCTGAAAAGTCAATACTGTGTCTACAGATGGAGAAGTGCACATTGCTTGCCCTTTGAAAGCTTCTCCTCATCTTTGTCATTAATACTGTCAGAATTAAGAACACATTGTAATGGAGTTCAGCGGCAGTTGAGCATATTCATTCACCCAGCCCAAGAGGAAATGCTAGGAGCGTCTAGCCTAGAATATCCAGATAGACTGGAGAAGCCTTGGCCAAGTTCAGAAGGAGAGAATGGATTTCTTTGATGTTGAGCCTCATGTGAGGCTCCCGTTGCCAACAACCCAGCATCAAGTCATACACTTCCTTTGGGCATGTGCGGGGTCGCTGCAGGACTCGGCCCTGAGTAATACACTCGATCACCTGTAAGAGAGCAAAGAAAGAATATGCAGAGTGATGAAATGTTGGACAGCCTCCTCATCCCCCCTCTCTCTCCATCATCAGCAAGTCAATTACTTCCTCAAAGCTTCCACCTTTGAGGACTGGGTGAAATCCTGGCTCTGCTGAATTCAGTACATTTAAGGGAATTTTACACTCTGTGTTTTGTACCATATCTATCTGATGCTTGGACAAAAATGTTCTCTTGTATAGGACTCTCTTGCATGGTGTATTTAAAACCCTTGATACAGTCAGGTGCATTTATAGAGCTAAAGGATAATGGGAGAAGACCATCTCAAATGATGTTCTCATTAACCGGTGAAAGCAGAAAGGAGACAGGACCTCTGTGGCATCATCCCTTCATGCACAAATCCTTTGTAGGTCTAGGAATCTGTCTGTGGATGGTCGCAAGTATGGAGCAGAAGCTGGAAGCTGGGATGTGCTATGGGGACACTATTCTCCCTGGAACTCAAATGGGATCTGTGCAATATTAATACCTCTTCAGACTGTACAACTTTTTGTGCTAACTTCCTGGGCAGTGCAGAACTCCCTTTGGTGGGGGATCCCAGGAAAGCTGCCTGAGAAGAACATGGTGGCAGGGAGAGTCCCTCACAATTGTACAAATCCATTGTACATAGATATTGTATTCCAAAAGATGTTACATTCAAACCCTTTGATTCCTTCTTGAAATAAACTTCTGGCACTTTTGAAGTTATTAAGAGCCAGTGGAAAGTTGCCACAGTTACAGGAATTAATTGTACTCCAGAATAAAAGGGGCCTTTTTTAAAAGTTAAGTTATACTGCTTTCAAGGCAATTTAAGCCACACTGAAAAAAAACAACACCCTTCTATAGCTGAAAAAGAGGCTAGGTACAGACATTCAAAAAACCTGCGGTGAAATCGGTCTAAGTTACACGTTTTTCTGAAAGTGGTGTAGTTTAGATTGGTAGTGAACAGAACACACATTTGCGCTTGGGGGGGCGGGGGTGTCTGTGCAAATCTTAGACCAGGTTCTGCCATTTTTAAACCAGTCTACGTGTGCTGAACTTCTGTACTGTTATGGATTTAGATCAGTTTCTGAACACTTATCCCAGTAAAAGTGTAAAGTTTATATCTGGCCAGAGTGTCCACATAGGGAATTACACTGATATAGTTACCATGTTTTAAATTCAAACGTCATCTTCACATTCACAACCCTTCCTGGTAAACAAGCAATTCTTATAAAAGGGGCTACACTGACAGACCTCTTAGCTAAAATCCTCTCAACACAATAGCTCATTCTTGTACAGTAGCATAAACTTCGCAGAACTGTTCAATCAAGGTCCCAAAATTCTAACCAAGGAAGATCAATGCCTGCAGTCCCCCTTCTGTCCCATCTAAGAGAGTAGTTCATTTTGAGGGCTCAGTTCAAGCATGAGACCCACACAAGTGTCTTCTGAAACCAAGCACAAGTACACTAATTACTGGTAATGATTGGTAGGTTTTTTATACAAACACCTGTGTACTGGAAAGTTACCTGGGATAAACACCATAATGTAGAAGCCAATGACATAGTAACCATGTACAATTAACTTCACTGATATGAGTATATTTCATTAAACAGAAACATGTGGTAGCATTAAAATCCCAAAACCCAGGTTCTCTCCTGTCAGACCACTGTGTTTATGATGTATGTTTGCGGGGGGGGGCAGTGTCTTTCTGAGTTAGAAAGACCACCCTGCATTGCCCTTTCCATTTTTGTAGCAATAGCAGAAGGATGATTTCCTCTCCTATTTTCAGGCATCAAGCAGTTGTACAGCAAGGGTATTTAGTTTGTATGCCCCACTTCCCTCCTTGCCCATGAACCCACTACCACCTCAGAAGAGCAGCAGTGGGCACTGCCCATGCAAAACAGGTTATGCTGTTGTAGAGCAGGTCCCCATCTACCAAACCAAATCATCCTGTCTTATATTTTTTATGGAGGCAACACAAGGGTAGGTGGTTGGGGACTGAAGACCCAGATATCAATTACTGGGAATGTTGTTACTTTAGTCGCTGTAGACTTTGAGGGACTTCCAATCCTGCCAACCCCCACTGATTGTAGCCTGAGGTGGAACAACAGTATTGTCCCTGATCTAGTCACACAAACTAATAAAAACATGTATTTGAGGCTGTGCAGAGATACTCTAGCCTTTTCTTTGGTAAGATGCTGGGCCTGTCCCTGCCATTTTGTTCCTTCACCCAAGGCAAGCTCCAGCTTGGTTGAGTCCTATCTGGACAACAACCTTACCTTTTGGTCAAAAAAAAAAGCATGAAGAAAAGTGGCATCTAAGTACAACACTCAGGATAGTATTATAAATATGGCAAGTCAGTAGTTATTGCAAGGATAAATATGAAGCTTATATGTCATCCTTTCCAAACAGAGTGTGATTTCTTCATGACATTCACAGCAAAGCATCATCAATTGAACCCTACAATGTCATTTTGTCATCTGCATTATACATACCTCATTGTTTGAGAGCTGATACCATGGCTGCTTGCCATACGTGAAAATTTCCCATAAAACGACCCCTAAGCTCCAAACATCACTCTCTGTGGTGAACTTCCGGTACATGATACTCTCAGGAGGCATCCAACGAATGGGCAACATAGTATGACCACCAACCTGAAGGAAATAAACAGTATATTTTAAAGGAATCCTCCAGGTTCCTGACAAAGAAATGCACAGAGGATGCCAGAATGGGGAAGTGAATATTGATTTTTTTCTGATTTATTTCCATTAACCTTCAGGAGCTCATAATATCTAACTAGCAAGGTATTATTTCATATATTCATCTCTCAGTCCATGCAAGCTTAAAGCATTCACTAGAGCACACTAGAGAGTAAAGCCTCCAGAAACCCACTGACTTCAATAAAGTTCCACATAAAGGGTGGTTGATGTGGACAACCTTGTAGCATGAATGATTTGTATTCCCACTTCTATGCCTGACCCACAGGAATAGCCCCTCCCTCCTATGAGGAAATGAACATGTGCTGAGAGGGGAAACCTATTACTTGCCTTAAAAATCTGAAATTATTCAGGTATTTGCTTTGATTGTGCTCATGTTTTATATCATTATCCTGGCAAATGAGCTTTAATGTTCTGATGAGTTTTCTGTGAATAGTTAAGTGCATTTGAGAAAAGTGAATTTTAGGTTGAATATTTGAAAATTTCAAATTGCACACATGGGAGTGTATCCCTTGTAGCCACAGGAATTTCAAGCACAAGGAACTCACAGACACAGTGAATTTTAATTTGCAAATTTGGACTTGTGGTAGCGGTGATTTTTTTTATTAGCTCAGAGATACCTTACCAGATAAGAAATGCCTGCCCAGAAGAGCATCCCATCTATTTACTTCTCTGTGAAATGTGAAACACCATAATCAGAAGGAAATATGAATACATCCTGCTTACCATCAAACAACTTTGAGGTAAATAGATTATTCCAATTTTTCTCTGAGCCAAATCTGCATATAAAATAAACTTTTGCAAACAGTAGATTTTACCACCTTCAACTCTCCTGTGAAATATGAACTTTCATTTCTACCCAGGAGAAATTTTAATTTTTTTTCTCCAATGCCTGATGAAGTGTGTTTGCACCTGAAAGCTTGCAATTAAAGATTTTTTTTTTTACAAAAATCTAGTTGGTCTAATAAAAGATATCACCTCTACCATAACCCTTGATTGCTTTTTCCTCTAGACCAATATGGCTACAGCCTGGATACCTGGCACAATTTGCAAATTTAATGCTTGAATCTGTAATTCAAAGCTCATTCTATTTCAGCTACATAAATAATCAAACCAGAGAAAATAAATGATACAATGGGGCCTATATATCATTTAGTCTTGACTGGCATCTTCCATAGCTTGTACACGATTTGAGATTGACTGCTGCAATGTAAATGTAAAATATTCTGAGTAACTTGTTCATGAATGAGCTGCAGACCCAAACGATGCATTGAAAAGCTGTAAATAATTTTTAATAATGAATAAATGGAAAGAATTTAATTGTGGGATGGATAATTTTCAAAGACATGATGGGCAGAATTTACCTTATGATTTTGTCAGAACAAATTATCAACCCAGCCCTAGATGAATGACTTCCAAGTAGGCTAGTTCAGGACTCAGCATCCTGCAGCCTGTGGGCAGGATCCAGTCTGCAAAGAAGTCCAATCTGACTTGCAAAGGTGCTGTCTGGCATGGGGGATTGGTGGCACTGAGCTGAGTTGTGCCACCCATCCCTTCTGCAGAGGTCCCTTTCTCTGCAGAGCCTGTGTTTACCCTTGCTGCAGCTGAAGGGATGGGAAACATCAGAGAGGGAAGCACAGGCAACTGGATGCTCCAAGGGCTAGAGACTTGTGGTCCACAGCTGAGTGGCAAAGGTCAGCCCACACCTGCAAAACTTTGTCAACTCCTGGTCTAGATAGCTTTAAATCCATCTCACTCTTCTGCTTAAAGTAACCTACTAATTAAGGATTTGTATGTACTGGAATTGGCACCTGAATCAGAACCTGCTACATTTCATAGGAAATATAGGCATAGAAAAATAGGCATCAGTGTCCTCAAAACATTTTTTATCATTTGCTCAAGAAGATACAGGTTATTAAAACTGGTGTTTGACCTTAATTAAAAAAACCAAACAAACTGTTTTTTTTCCATTTTATAAAACACTTATTACTCCAAACATATGTTTTTGACAGATTACAGATATGAATAAACCTACGTATCTTGAAAAAATGTAATCTACTACAAGACTGGGATTTGGCATCCTGATTACTTCTGGATGGGGATAACTGTGAAGAGCCCCAGGAAAAATTTCTTTCAAAGAATACATGATTTTTTTTTACACATGTTTTTCTGGTCTGACAATTTATTTAGTTCAGGAAACCACAACAGGACAGATTTTTTCACTTGGAAAAAAATCTGTTCTTTAAAAATCTCATTGCTCCTACTGGGATTTTGCATACAATGTTGTAAATAATGGTTTTATTGTTCTGATGTCAAAAGACCAAATGATAGGAGAACCTAATAAAAGTTGATTCAGGGTTCACATTATTTCTAGAGCACTTAGCACATCTTTTTCCAGCTATTTGTCAATATTTCAGTGTTAGTGTAATGTACCAAAAATACACACCATAGTCAGAGAGTGCAGTTGGATTCCACATGTTGTCATAAAGTCTGCTATCAATTTTGATCTAAAAATGCAGAGAGGTATCAAAGCCTCAAGAGCATGTATTTTATTCAGAGTTGTTGGCTCTACCCGTGTTGATCTAAGGCAGGGGTGGGCAAAATGTGGCCCAGGGGCTGGATGCGGCCCACAAGGCCATTCTATCCAGCCCGTGGGGTCCTTAAAAAATTTAGAAAATTTATATTTATCTGCCCTGGGCTGCCTGTCATGAGGCCCTTGATGGCTCGCCA